TTATTTTTGTTTATTTCCAACCTATATTTTTATGAAATGTTACACATGAGGAAAAGCACATAAAACAAATGTGCAGTACAATGAATGATTATAAAGCAGACATTCATGTCATCATCACTGAGCTCAGGAAATAGACCACTGCCAGCACTGCTCCCCTCCAATCTCACCCAGATTACAAACTCCTTTAGAGGCTGCCAGCAGCCAGATTTTTATAATAATCACTTCCTTGCTTTTCTTTATAGTTTTATCACCAATGAATCACATGGAAAGTCTTTTTTTTTTTTTTTTAAAGATTTTATTTATTTATTTGACAGACAGAGATCACAAGCAGGCAGGGAGGCAGGCAGAGAGGGGGGGAAGCAGGCTCCCTGCTGAGCAGAGAGCCCGATGCGATGCGGGGCTCGATTCCAGGACCCTGGGATCATGACCTGAGCAGAAGGCAGAGGCTTAACCCACTGAGCCACCCAGGCGCCCCCACATGGAAAGTCTTAAATTGGGATTTTCTCATGTAAATCCTAAGACTGAAGACCACAAGGGAGAGCCTCTTTCATGTGGATTCCCAGGCCCTGGGGAGATGGTGGTGGATTTGCTGCTCTTCTGCCTTTGGCAAAGAATGCTGTTTTGAGGCTTCTCTCCCTCATTATGTTTAAGGCACCTGAAGAGCAGTGTGAGGGGAGCAAAAAATGCACCCCAAGCTGAGCCAGTCCCTGGGAACTTACTGTAGGGTAGAGAAAACATGGATAAACATGACAGAACAGGGAGAGCGCCTAAAGATACCCTCAGGTGAATGCTATGGGAGTTTCGAAGAAGCAGAGATCACTTTAGCAGCCAGAAGAGGAACAGGCTTTGTGGGAAAAGTGGCAGTATGCTCATTCATGCATTATTTATCAAACATTTTGGAGGGCTGGCAGTTTGCCAGGAAATTAGATAAAAGGATACAAAAATGAATACAGTAAGATCCCTGCCTGCTCATGGCTTAATGGTTTAGTTAGCACAGACACAAATGATTTTAATACAGTATGCTTTAAATACACAGTGTAATAGGAATGATGGGTTGCCTGGGGGTATCAGTCAAGGCTTAGGAGCTGAGATCCACACTAATCCTTGAAGGAGAGAAGAATAGGAGTTTGGCAGACAGGGAAGGGAACTGCTGGAGTTGCAGAAGCACAGAGGTGGGAAAGAACACAAGGTCAGTGTTGGTAAAAGGTACAGTTTATGGTGGGAAGGAGAGAGGGACTTCATAGGTAGCATGGGTGAGCGGGAAAGGTGTCCTAGGCAAGGGGAACAGCATGAGCAGGAGCATGGAACCAAGAAATCATGGTACCTACCTGCACGATACTAGATAATTCAGTCTTGCTGCCGTGTACACACATAAGGTGTGTGATGGAAGGTGGGATAATTAATTTTAAATGTCAGCTTGACTGGGCAAATTAAATGTCAGCTTGACTGGGCAATGGGGCTCAGATACTTGGTTGAACATTATTCTGGGTGTACTGGTCTGTGAGGGTATTCTGGGTTAAGATTATCATTTGAATTGGTAGACCACGTAAAGTAGATTGCATGCCCTAAATGTGGTGGGCCTCATCCAAGCAGTTGAAGGCCTGACTGGAACAAAAAAGGCTGACTCTCCCATAAGTAACAGAGGTTTTTCCTGGCTTGGGACTCAAACACGGACTCTTCCTGGGTTTTGAGCCTGCTGACTGTTGGACTGTGACTGAAATATCGGTTCTTGTTCTCAAGCTTGAGGACTTGGACTAGACCCATACCCTCAGTTCTCTTAAGTTTCAACTTGTCAACTCACCATATGGCTCTTGGAACCTATCAACATCCATAATTGTGAGAGTGAATGCCTTTGAATACACCTTTTCAGATTAAAAAAAATGATTTATTTGTCAGAGAGAGAAAGAGAGAGCAGGCAGAGGGAGAAGTAGGTTCCCCGCTGAGCAAGGAGCCCGATGTAGGACTTGATCCCAGGACCTTGGGATCATGACCCAAGCCAATGGCAAATGCTTAACTGACTGAGCCAGCTAGGCATCCCAGAATAAATCTTTTTAGATAGATAGATGCAAAGCAATACAAATCAATCTCTCTCTCCCATTCCTTCTTTTCCTCCCCCTGTTCCTCCTGTTGCCTCTGTTCTTCTGGACAACCCTGACTAACACAGAAGGGAAAGGGAAATAACTTTGGAAAGGCAAGTTGGTGCCAGGGCACAGAGGACACAGAATGCCTGGCTAAAGGACTTTGAAATTTATTTTGAAGGCAAAGGGAAAAACACCGAGGTTCCTGAGCCAGAAAGTGACTTAATAGGAGCTGAGATCTAGGTAGGCAAAGGTTGTGGTGTATAAAATGAATTGAAACAGTGATAGTCAGAGGAAGCCTCTAGAGATGGGATATTGACTTTGTTTGCGTGGGACCTCTGATGCAGAGAGGTTGGTCTGGATGTAGTACAAGGGTGCAGGGGCCAGAAGCAGATAGAGGCACAACAGAACCCGAAGCAGGTGGGAACTGGAGATGTCGTCAGTGGCGCTGATGGGACTTGTGAGTAACTGGGAATTTGGAAATGGTGTGGGAATAGGGGCTGGAGGAGGTAGAGATTTGGGAATCATCTAGAAGGTGGTGTCAAGTGCTACACCAGGCGGCCACAGAAGGGCGGGGTGGCAGAATCTTGCAATTGTGACAGGAACCGACTCAACGTTGCTCAGCTAGTGTGACTGAAAATTTAAGTAAGACTAGATCCAAGGGCTCAAAAATGCCAGTGGGACTTGGTTTGATTGTCTCTTTCTCTCTGCTCTCTTTTTGCCCTCTGTTATGGTCCCCTTCCCAGGCAGTTTCTCTCCTTGCAGTGGGAAGATGGCTGCCACCAAGGCCAAGGTGACATCCTGCCCTCAGCAGAGAGATTCATCAACCGGACAGTTCTGACCAAAGTTCCAGAATTGAGTCTCACTGGCTCTCTTTGGGTCGTATGCGCATCACAGAACTGCTGCTAAAATTCTCTAATTCGCTAAGCCTGGGTCACATGTCCACCCAGCACCTAGCAGTGGAGACATCTCCTCTAGAGCCATGGGGATTGAGAATTGGGGGGAGGGGTTGCTGCAGAAATGGAAGTGCCTTCATCAGCAGGAGGATTGGATTCCAGGCTGGTAACCATGGGGGAAGGGGCGCTGGAGACCCACAGGGTGCTCCTCCCATTGGTATGAGGTAGCTGCAGCCAGAGGGGCAGTGGGGAGGAGGCCCCAGGAGTCTGGGGTCTAGGCTGGCAGCAAGGGAAGGGATAGACTGGGTTCTAGTAGTAATGCTGCTGCCTCTTGGGGCCGTGAAAAGATTGGGGAGGGCCATTTTGACAAAGACCTGACAAGAGAGAAGACAAAGTACTAAGTGAGCCCTTGTTCTGGGCTCTGTTGGGTGACACCCCATCAAGATATTGCTGCTCATGGAAAGGGCAGACATTGTCTGGGGACATTCATGGGATTGTGAGAGGGGATGAAGGAAAGGTCACTGCCAACTGGCTTGCAGAAGGAGAAAACACAACCAGATTTCCTCAAGTTAAAAAAAACTAAGCTGATGTATTTTGCAGTAGTCAAAAAGTTACAATAGCCGAAAACAACCTAAATTCCAATAATAGATTGATTAGATAGATTGTAATGTCCACACAGTAGAATATGACCTTTAAAAACGATGTTTCATTTGAGATGGAAAGATATTCATAGTGTAGTTTTGAAAGACAAAAACAAGAGTACAATCAGTTTTTGTGCAATAAATGTATATACACCTCTCTCCATCTCTATATATCCGGGAAGATGTACACCACAGTGTTACTATTTTGTGTCAGTAGGGGTAGAAACACAGCTGAAGCTTATCTTTTGATTTCTCTGTAATCACCTTCTGGGTAGTTGATCAATTGGAGCCAGCCCCTTGGGTCCAAGTTCCAAATGTGCCACTGCCTGGCTTGGCAACCTTTGGCAACTTCCGTTTTTTTTTTTTAGATTTTATTTATTTATTTATTTGACAGAGAGAGATCACAAGTAGATGGAGAGGCAGGCAGAGAGAGAGAGAGAGAGAGGGAAGCAGGCTCCCCGCTGAGCAGAGAGCCCTATGTGGGACTCGATCCCAGGGCCCTGAGATCATGACCTGAGCCGAAGGCAGCGGCTTAACCCACTGAGCCACCTAGGCGCCCCTTCGGCAACTTCCTTAACGCTTCTGAGCCTCAGTTCATTCATCATAAAAGAACAATAATGGTTCTTAACTGATAGAGTAGTTGTGAGCATTACATTATCTACTATTACATGCAAAGCTGTTAGCAACATGCCTATAGTAAACACCCAAAAATGTAGTTATTCTTCTTGTGCAATTGAAAAGCCCAGAAGGAAATATGATTATTGTATCAGATGTTTTGGAAACAGGTGTCTTTATTGGCCAAGTAGCTGAGGTAGTCACCAACAAATGAAGTATTATTAAGATAAGCCATTTTCCTGTAACACTGGGAAACGTCTGAGACTAAGATTGAGAGTTCCTATTCTCCCGAAGCCTGAACACTAGCAGGGAAGACAGATGATAAACAGGTGCTGTGAGGATAGGATGATCAGGAAGGCAGTGACATTTGAGGGCCGAGAGCCAACCAAAGGCTGCTGAAGAAGAGGAAGCCAAGGGAAACAGAGAGTGCGAGGTCTTGTAGCAGGGAGGAAGTCCCAGAACCAAAAGCCTGCCAAAGTGACTGGAACGAGGGACAGTGTGGTGTAGGGAGATGAGAAGCAGAGCGCGCCACGGAGCACGCAGTGCAGGCCTGGGTCGGGGGGTGGTCTCAGGCAAGTCATCACCAGCAGGCAAGTCAAAGCCTCCGTCTTTTTTTTTTTTTTTAAACTCCGTCTTTTTTTGCAAAATATTTGCTTTACAAGGTTGAAAGGAACAAAAGCATCGTTAGTGGCAGCGCTTTGCAAATGACTGTTTATAGCATCATTACAAACACAACCGTCGGAGAAAGAGGGGCGGAGCTTAGCAGCAAACTAGCGAGCCTTGTTGGTCGGCGCGTGCGCGGTAACCGGCCAGATGAACTCAGGCCCCGCCTCCAACCGCTGGGCCAGGACTGGCCTCCGGGCTCCGCCCTCTTCCGCGGGCACCCAACCCTGCGTCCCCTGCGTGCTGACGTCAGGCGCGTGCCCCTGTCCGGCAGCCGAGGAGACCCCGCGCAGTGCTGCCAACGCCCCGGCGGAGAAGCTGAGGTGAGTGCGGGGCCCGAGGCTCCCCGCGGGAGCGGGTCCCCCATCGTCCCGTCCCCGCCGCGCGGCCCGCGCCGTCTCCCCGTCCACGGGGACTCCCCGCCTCTGGGATCCCGGGAACCCTGGGAGCGCGGGGCGCGGGGAGGGGTGCCCGGCTCGCGCGGCGCCGTCCGGGCGAGCACAGGTCCGGGTTCTTTCGGGGAGCGGAGGGGAGAGGGTGGCGGCGGAGCAGGCGGGGGCGCTCGGCCGCCGAGAGGTGCGCGGCCCGGGCGCGGGGTGCCGGCCTGAGGGCGCGGTCAGGGCCGGGCTGTCACCGGACAGCGGCGGAAGGAAGGGGTCACACCCATCCCGGCGGCCTGGGGCCCTCTCCCCCTCGGCCCGGCCCCGCGGGCTCCGAGGACGGGCGGCGGGCCGAGGCGCGGAGGGCGGGGGCCGCGGAGCCGCTCGCGGGTGGCTCGGGCTCCCGGGCCGGGTCTGCCCCTGCGCCCCGGCTTGGACTTCCTGCTTCTCCGGGCGCCGCCGCGGACATTTTGCGGCGGGCTGGGGGAGGGGAGCGGAATCGCTAGCGCGGCGGGGAAGTGGCGGCCGGGGAGGGGGCGGCTCGCGGAGTGCCCTGGGCTGTGCCTGCGACGCGCTTCCCTCCTCGGCTCCGCGGCCCGGCGGCGGCGGCCGGTCGGGCGGGCCGGGTTGCTGTTTCTCCAGGCTCCTTTATTCCGACCCTTAGGTTGAGTTTCTAGCACCATTTCCGTTTGCTTCTCCAGTTCTCCCTGCTTATTCAGCTGAAGCTTCCCTTTCAGGGAGTTACCTAACCACCTCTCGAAACTGTCGTTCTGCCTCTTGCTTAATTCCTCTTATAAGGGTAAAATTTTCTTTGTTCATTTGTTTTTTCCTCCCCTTTAAGTCCAAGAGAAATGCAGTGTGGAGGATTACGTCATCGCAATATAAGGGGTGAGAGTTTTAACTCCTACAAGTCAGGGACTCACCGAATGTAGACAGCGTTTTGCAGCCTCAGGCACTCAGTGGCACATCCTGCCTGCTTCCCAGCGCATCGTGTTCATAGACGATCCTTTGAAATCTTTTGGCTGTCTCAAAGGCATCTAGAAAGAAAGTTTAAAATCTCAAGATTAGCTGGTGCCCGGGAGTATAGCGTAAGACACACCTACAGCCACTTGTGTAGGCAGTAACTTTAAAGATCCCTTTGCAGTCGAATGAAGTGATTTGTGGGAGAATTTCTTTGGTCCAAAATGACTTTTCCAGACTGTTTAACTTCTCCCTTATGACTTAGCGATGCACAGTACAGACCTAAGTTGGCTCACATGCGCTTTTTGTGGCAAGGGTGTGGTGGAAAGAGAATCCGTTTGTTTTACACTTTACCTTTGCTTGCTAGACAATTTAATTTTGTAATTAAAAACGAATTTTGGATTTTTAACCAAAAACACATCAGTATCTCTTTTCAGACTTTTGGATCACAGTATTTGTTCCTCAGAATATTAGGTACGTCCCCAGTTGTATATCCTTCATTGATTCTGGGGATATAGCACAGAAAAATGTTAGCACTGTAAAGCAAATGAGAGCCCATTGTGTAATGGCATTGTAGTAAGGGTAGTTCATGTTGGAACAAGTACTTTCCCATTGTTTCTCTTGTGTGTAGATAGAGCATTGCTTGTTAAGAAACACTTTAAAGAAGTAGGTTTAAATCAACTTTTCTATGTTGTGTAGGTGTTGTAGATGACTGGATAGGTATTGGGCTTGGATCTTCTGAAGTACATCTGTCATAATGTGGTATTTTGTTTTAAAACACTTCCTGTTGAATTATTTCTTGAGACTTCTACATTAAAGAAGTTTAAATATACATACATCAATTTGCATCATTCCTTTTAAAATATAGCAGAATGTTTAAACTTACAGTTTTTAAACTGAGGCAAGGATAAGAGATTGATAGTTAACGAGTATTAAAAAATGAGCGGTTTTCTAGTAATTTCTTCAAGACCTAGAAGGTATCACATCCTCTTAAAATGTTTCTGACCAAAATGTGTATTCAGTTAAACTTAGTTTTTTGGGAGTCTAAGGCCCATGTTACAGTAGTGGAGGTTAGGGCTTAAACATCTGTGAAATTCTTAAAGCCCAACAAGACCATTGCAACTGGGGCACCTGGGTGGCTCAGTGGGTTAAGCTTCTGCCTTTGACTCAGATCCTGGTCTCAGGGTTCTGGGATCAGCAGGAAGCCTGCTTCCCGCTCTCTCTCTGCCTGCCTCTCTGCTTACTTGTGAATATCTTTTTCTGTCAAGGAAGAAAAAAAAAACAAACCAAAACCAAGACCCAACAAGACCAAATCTTGACGTTTTCTGTAATTTCAAGATTGGTTTTCCTTTATTCAGATACTTTTTCTGCTTAGAACTTTATGGTCTATTAGAAAAGCATTTCTAGGTTATTTTTAAGATGGTTACACTAATAAAATGTTTTGATTCAAGAGTGTCACATTTGGAAAAGTTTGAAGTACAATTTATTGTGCCTTTCTGGAAGCAGTATTTATAGGCATTCCTGGGAGTAAAAGTCAGATTGTCCTTTTATTTATAGATACATTTTAGATGTATTTCTTTAGAGAGGATAAGGAACACATCAGTCTGAAAGGGCTTCCTCTGCAGGGGAAGGAGGGATTACTATTTTGTTAACTTATGTCCCATAAATAGTTCTTTCATGTATCCTTCTATATCAGAGGGCTTCATTCTAGGCTTTTATGATAGTGTCTTATTCAGTGTTCTCTTTCAAATCTGTTAAGTGTCCCCCACCAGCATGTAAGTGATATGAAAGCAGGACTTTGACCTGGCATGGACACCCCTGTATCTCTAGCACCTAGAATAGTGCCTGGTATATAGTAGGCCTCAAGACATGTTTGTCAAATGAATGAATTTAATGGTGTCTGAGGGTTAACATTTTCTTTCTGCATATGCCATAGGCGTGTATACTGTGTTTCCTGAGACTTGTGCTTGGTCAGCCATATCCATATGGAGGCTCCTTGAAGTGAGGATTACTAATCTGCTCTTGCTTGATGTTAGCCCTCTGTTTAGTCCAGTGCCTTCCATAGCTGTACTGTCTGGACTGTTCACCATCGCTTAGAAAGTTTTTTCTGATGACCCGTTCTTATTCTCCTAAAAATTTAGACTTTGATGTTTGCTTTTTTCCTTTCTTTTGTTTGCTATAGCAGCTTATTTTTGCCACTTACTCCACTCTGCTTAACAGTATCACATTTCTGGTCATGTTGGGCTTTGTCCCTTACCAGTTTCTACTTTCAGTTACTCATCCTTTTGGTCCAAAATATTTTTGCTAAAGCAATTTTCATTACTTGTTATTTCAGTTATGTCTGCTACTGCTGCTTTGAAATTCCTGGACGTTAAAACTCTTTACTAGTTGCCCCTGGGACATTGGTCTTAGAATGCTTATTGCATGAGGTTAAACCAGGTGTTTTTTGTTTTTAATTTTTTAATTTTCTCAGGATTTTATTTTTAAATAATGTCTACACCCAGTGTGGGGCTCGAACTCACAACTCCAGGAGCAAGAGTTGCATGCTGTACTGATTGAGCCAGCCAGGGACCCCTGAAACCAGGTGTTTTTCTTCTTTTAAAAAAATATTGTAGGGGCTCCTGGGTGGCTCAGTCTGTTAAGCGTCTGACTCGATTTCGGCTCAGGTCAAGGTGTCAGGGTGGTGAGGTTGAGCTGCACGTGGGGCCCCGCGGTCAGTGCGTAGTCTGCTTCAGATTTTTTTTCTTTCTATCCCTTGTCCCACTTTAGTGTATGCTCTCCTCAGATAAATAAAACATTACCAAAAAATACTGTAGAGAAATATTACTGAAATGTTTAACTATTATGCTGAAGTCCACAGTAGTTCTAATACAGGAAAAAAACTGTATTGTTAAGTCCTGGGATTCACCAATGATTGGCCGTCTGTCACCTCTGTTGCCCACTCAGTTCTTTAACTCCTGCCTCATGTTCTCCAAAAGTAAGCCATTTTGGTTTGCCATCTTAATTCTGCTGTTTTGGGAGCTATACTGCTGGTATCATAATTAAAGGTGTAGACTCTAGAACCAGACTGCCTGGATTCAAATCCTACCATGTATTATCTATGTGCAGTCTGAGTAATGTCTTCGTGACTTAGGTCTACCTTCAGTAAAACAGGGCCAGCAGTAAGTTCCCACCTCACTGTTGTTTTGAGAGATCAGTTAATCTGTGTGGAGTACTTAAGACAATTCCCTGGGACATACTAGGTGCTCTGTAGGTGTGTGTTCTTTTATTGCAGCCTCTCTCAGGCCTTCATGTGTGAGAAGCTGGGTTTTCCCCCAAATCAAAATTTTAGTAACCACCGTCCCCCAGATTAATGTCATGAAACCATAAAAATTATCAAACGAAGTGGAGATTGTTGCCTGCCTTAAGTTTTTGTCCACTCTCTTAACCAGGGTTACACAAACGAGGTTGTAAAGTCAAATACAGTGTGTGGACTGTGGACCAGCAACACAAGATCACCTTGGAGATCCATCCCAGTCCCGCTGAATCAGGATCTGCATTTTAACAAGACACCCACATGATTTTTATGCACGTTAAAGTTTGAAGCATCCTCTTTAGGACTGCTAGAAGGATGTCTTAAGGGATTTCAGAAACAGCGTTGGGTACTTTATTTTTATTTTTCCTCCTACTTAAGTATGAACTGCTTTCTTTTAAGCAGTGTACCAGAATTTATTGCAAGGATCCTAACCTGAGAGTGGGCGAAACTGGTTTGGCTTGTAAAGAAGTGAGTTATAGGGGCCTGGGTGGTTCAGTCGGTTGAGCATCTGCCTTTGGCTTGGGTTGTGATCCCGAGGTCCCAGGATCTAGTTCCACATGGGGGCTACTTGCTCAGCGAGGAGCCTGCTTCTCCGTCTGCCTGCTGCTCCCCCTGCTTGTGCTCTCTCCCCCTCTCTCTCTCTGACAAAAAAATAAAATCTTAAAAAAAAAAAAAAAAGGAGTTACAGTGTCTTACCTGTTGTGTAGAATCACCTCATGTCTGTGCTCACTGTGAAGAGTGTAAAGTTGTTAAAGTACCATTGCCCGCTTAGTACTAAGTAATTATAAGTTCTAGTTTAGAATATCAGTTACACATTTGAACTCAAATGATGTTTTATTGAAAACATTGTTTGGAAGAGCATATGATCAGAATGATTCCTTTAATAGTTGGTTATGAAAACAGGTGAGCTACAAAGCTGGTGTTTAGCTGGTGAAATATAACAAATCTTTTCTGTTTTCTTTCTTGAAATTAACCATATTTCTAATCCCAAGGGAAAATACTAAAAACTAAAATCTAGTCCTATTTAGCTACCATCCTTTTTTTTAAAGGACTAGATTAAATTTTTTTTCTAATAACTTTTTCTTAAACTGGTGTAGGAGAAATCCCAGTACTATCCTTGTGTAGTATATGCTTTAGAGAAGTGTTTCCTAATCCTTTTCAAATCAAGGCAGACATAGAAAAGTATTCATATGCCACACTGAAGTGAATGGATGAGGCTCCTCTTGGCTGGCTGGACAAGTTGAGACCCCAGGAGAGCTGGGAGCAGTGTCTCAGGTGCATCTATGTCCATTCTGTTTCAGGTGGCAGTATGAAGCCATCTAGTGTTGGATATTAAGGCACAGCCATCCTTTTCAGGTAAAACGATTATCACTGTTTGCTGCTCCTTATGGGAGCAGAAGAGATTGATAACAGAGCAAATGGAGAGAAAATTAAACCAGGGGGAGAACTGGAGGTAGAATACAAGAAGACTGTGTTAGTTCTTGTTAAGGAGTATGAGAAAATTGCTCATAGAAGAAAACATAAGTGAGGTTTCAGCAAAATCCATTTGTTTTGTTGATAAGCAGTTTGAGAGTATTTGTAATTTTGGTTTGCTTCGAAATATGTTTAAAAGCAGATGAA